AAAAGTTAAAAGAATTAGATTAAGAAATTGTACAAAAGAAAGCAGAACAACATCACCAAGAAAATACAAATTACAAAAAGAGAACTAAAGTCAAGCATTTTGGTTTAATGATTAACATGAGAATTCTGATGTTACGTTCTAATAATTGAAAAAGACAAAAAGAAGGCAGCCATTACAAACGGTTAACGTAACAGTTTTTTTGAGTAAAATTACAATGAGATAAATAATTAGGTAATAAAATTGAGAATGGAAATGGGGAATATGTCAAAGAGACAACAACCCGACCAAAGAGCAGACAACAGCCGAAGGCCACCAATGGGTCTTCAACGCAGCGAGAAAATCCCGCACCCGGAGTCGGTCCTCAGCTGGCCCCTAAATAAAATTGTGTACTAGTTCAGTGAAAATGGACGTCACTCTAAACTCCAAAACATATAAATGAACTAAAATTAAAAAACATACAAGACTAACAAAGGCCAGAGGCTCCTGACTTGGGACAGGTGCAAAAATGCTGCGGGGTTAAACATGTTTTTTGAGATCTCAACCCTCTCCCTATACCTCTAGCCAATGTAGAAAAAACAAACGTACAACAGTACGCACAGTAAAACTCAGATTATGAGAAGTCCGAGTCCGATGTCAGAATAGGAAACAAAAGAAAATAAACAAAATGACAATAATACATAAATAACAACAGACTACTAGCAGTTACTGACATGCCAGCTCCAGACCTCAATTAAACTGATTGAAAGATTATTTCTTCATCATATGAATATCAGGCACAATCCCTCCTGTTAGGGGTTTAGTATTATACTGTCATAAAATATATGAGAAGAACATAACCCGTGTCATGCCAACAACTGGTTTTAGAATAAATATGTTTAATTCCGATGCAAAGACCCTATAAGTGAATCAATATTAAAGCCAAAATATGCAATCTTTAATGACCTGACAACAGTATCGTAACTATATCCCTTCTTAATAAGTCTGTTTAAAGGTTTTGTTAGCTTTTGAGGTGAATACTGACATTTTTGTGCTTTGTAAAGAATATTACCATAAAAGATTGGATGTGAAATACCCGAACGTATAAGATGTCTGCATGTTGAGTTATATTTACGAAGAATGTCCTTATACCGATGATAAAATTTAGTAAATGTTTTGACTAGTTTATGATATCGAAAACCCTGGTGTAATAATTTTTCAGTAATATATAAATTTCTCTCGCTAAAATCTAATACCTTGTTACATACACGAGCGAATCGTACAAGTTGAGATATATAAACACCATAAGATGGTGACAAGGGAACGTCACCATCTAAAAATGGATAATTAACGATAGGAAATGAAAAATCATCTCTATTATCATAAATTTTTTGTATTAAGCTTCCCGTTAATGATATAGATATCAAGATCGAGGAAAGGACAGTGGTCATTGTTAGTATTAGCTTTATTTAAAGTAAGTTCAACAGGATAAATTTCTTTAGTATACATACTGAAGTTGTCATTATTGAGAGCCAATATATCATCCAAATATCTAAAAGTATTGTTAAATTTTTGTATCAGATGTTGTTTCGATGGGTCTTTGCTGATTTTAGTCATAAATTGTAACTCATAACAATACAAAAACAGGTCCGCAATAAGTGGTGCACAGTTAGTCCCCATTGGAATTCCGATAACTTGATGATATACGGAATCTCCAAAGAGAACAAAAATGTTATCAAGTAAAAATTCAAGGGCAGATATAGTATCAAAGCATGTCCAATTGACATAGCTCTTTTTTTTGTTGCTACTAAAAAATGACCTAAAAGAGTTTGAACATATGTATTCGCATTCCGACTTTTTAAATGCCCATTTAATTAGGTGTGTGAATTTTTTTTTAATAAGAATATGAGGCAAAGTGGTATATAGGGTAGAAAAATCAAAACTTTGAACAGATTCAAAATCACCAATATATGCATGCAATTTATCAAGTACTTCCAACGAGATTTTGACACTTCAAAAGAAGTTAATTTCACTATTTTCAAAGGCCTTATTTGAACAATTTATTATCAGGTTTTTGATTGTACCAAGTGTACTAGTAAGTAGAATAGACAATTTAGTAGTGGAACAATGACTTGAAGACGAAATAAATCTATATTTGTAAGGTGATTTGTGTAGCTTTGGAAGCCAGTACATAGTTGGGACTTTCATTGTATTTGGTTCTGCTTGTAAAGAAGTAGCTAATAGTTTATGTTTGTTACAGATATTGTTTTCTGAAAATGAAGTCAGTTGGAATGTTGGTGAATTCGTGATTTCCTTTTGCAGAACCTCAATGTAAAATTTACGTCAAACTATAATGATATTATTAGCAGCTTTATCAGCCGGGACAAAAACAAATTCCTTGGCTAGTTCTTTTAGTTTATGTTTGATACGAGAGAAAGGATTTTTATGGTTGTTGTTAAGAGTAAAATGTTCTTTAAAATGTTGTATACGTATATCAACTATCTTCATTACTGAATTAAAAAAAGAGTCCAAAGATTTTTTGTCAGCTTTTTCCCGTTTTATCCATTTCAAACAGTAAGCACGAAGTGAGTCGTGGATGATATTACGACACTCATTCCAATTAATAATTGACGGGGGACGATATTTAGGTCCTTTACTGAGGAAAGATTCTGACTCTCGGTCGCGAACGATGTTAAGGTCTCCTGTTATAACATGGGAAATGGGGCCATAAGTGTATTCGGAATTACTACAATTACATGACGGAGGTGTATTTTCACTGATATTTACATCTTTACAGACTTGGCTATAATTAAACACAAATTTTCGGGTAGATTTCTTGTAAATATAACAAATAAGAGGGAGTTCAGTATTATCAAAATATCCAGGAATTTGTTCTTTAACAGAATGGTCGTAAAAAATACCGGCAATATTTACAAAATCAAAACCTTTATTGACATACTTTATTTTAATAAAATGTTTTTTATGATCTTCAGGGCGATCTATTTTGGGAAACAGTTTAGAATAACAATATGCCATTATAATTTGAACGATTTCATACTTAGGACTGCATTAAGAAATTGTGTTGCAATCCTCTAAAATTTTATTTAATTTATTTATATTTCTTTGATTGCGATTTTTTCTACGCCCATGAGAACGGTTTTTACGAACAGTTTTAGAAACAATATCCAAAATGTTAACAGAATCGGTTCTTGATATATTACCAATTCCCATGATATTATCATTAAGACCGAGAGGGTAGACTGTCTGTAATTTTTTAATCCAATTTAATTCAATTATTTTCCGCGATCGTATAAACTTTGAATTAGATTCACCAGGCTGCTTATTTACTACTTCGAAAGGTTGAACTGTTAAATATTTAATAGGATGATTGTGCTTTTTAAGATGTTGATAAATGATACTTTTGAATTTATTGGGTCTTTTACGTCATTTAGGTCTCGGGTGGATAGTTATCTCATTGGCAATAAGACCGCATATACATAATATATACAATACTACATTGAATGTGCGTATATATATATGTCCTTTTGTATTCCAAATAAAACGATTTAAAAAAGAGTATTTCAATATATATAATGTCTGTTTATTTTGATCGTTACTCTTCCTTCATTCACGAATAGAATCACATAACCGAACCATGATCAACAAGAAATAAACCTTGACACGAATGAACCAAACCATGACACTGAATATTCTGTAATCTCAAATTGTGTGCACTAGGGGCCGTTTTTCGGGAAAATTGACGGCAGTTTAACAAAATATATGATGTAGCAGACAGTAAGCAAACCACTTTTCTTTGTGCATTAGAAACGAATAACAACTTTTAAATTTTGACATACGCACTCATTATTCTGTGTCAAATTAATAACTATATGATACAAATGTTGATGTACTAACATATTAGCTATAAACAAAGATACTTGCCAGCTTGAATTTATTGTCATTAGTTCCTTTAACAAACTATTCAAATGTTTATATTTTGACACTGTTTGTCATCAAAAACACTTAACACAACCATGTTCATCTTAACCAAACTATGACAAAATCACTGTACTAAACGCTTCTCGATATGACGAGGTTACTAAATTAAGCCATTCGTTTTTTTCGCTTGAATTGGTTCATACTATTTTTTTCTTTTCGAGGCCTTTTATATCTGACTAGCATATGACATACGGTGACCTATAATTGCTTATTTCAACTTTATTTGAACTTTGGTGGATAATTGTCTCATCGACAATCATACCACATCTCCTTATTTTCATATATCAAGTAACTAATTATAACACTATTGTTTAAAAGACTATTTACACCCATTATAATACAGACCGAGGAGAAGTCGAGGTACATTTAGTTCTTTCGAGGTTCATGACGGTTAATAATCTGCCAATTGTTCTGAAGTGACATGGATTGCACTATTCGTTATAAACATTATATTAAACTGAACTGTAAGTGTTAAAAAAAAAACAAAAAAACAGCAGGGTTCCATTTTCACTGTAAATACAATATAGGTTTCGATTTGTATTAATGTATCAGTGATTCATTCAAATGACATAAATTCACTTGAAAATAGTAAATTGCTCTATTCTGGATTACACCGAGAGTAAAGGGAAATGTGTAATAAATTTGTTTCATTCATTTTACAGAAACAAAAGTTTAATTTTTTTTCATAAAAAGTTCTTTGTCAATGCTTTTTATGTCACACTCACATTAAAATATAAACATCTTTCCGCTTACCCGATATACGGAACGGTGTTTGATCTTATAAATGGGAGCAATATAAGTACTAATTATAAGAGTACACTACATGTATTGAGGTAAATTAGTTTTTAACATGTTTGTAGATCATGTTAGAATCCAGAGGAGATTAGGGACCTTTACATCTCAGAAGTGTTATCTATTCAAAATATGTCAACACACTCTTTATCAATTACAAAATATTTGACGAGTGTACTCTCATATCACTGTTTATCACTATTTAACATACATATATACCTATATACTTGAAGGCTTCAACAACCGCTAGGACACTGCATTGTGTCTTCCCGTCCACTGAGGTAAGGAGATTTGTTGAAAAATAAATTTGAACAAAAAAAGTAACAAAACAAAATATTCAATAGCGGCATCGAAACAATAAAATTTATTTTAAACATAAACATTCATAAAGCTACTAAGTTATTCAGTTTTGAATTGTTTTATTCCTTAATTGTTGTATGGATTATTATTATTTTGAAAGTTGATTTTAGGGTTTACTTCGATTTGCCTTTTTTTATGTGTTATCGTAATTGTTTTTTTACACGTACTACTTTTGCGACCGAGAACCCAAGTAGTTCATCTACTATATTACTAGCCTGTCATTACTGATGAGTTCGAACATCGCACATGGCCGGTGCTTAATTGGCCAGGATCGTCAGTTTTCCTGTCGAAAGTCGGTGGTTCTCGACTCCGGCTTCCTTCACCAATAAAAACTGATCGTCATTATAAAGCCGATAGTGCTGAAAGTGGCGTTAAACGCCAACAATTAATCATCCTCATTTTTCATTTTTTATCATAACACCCTTAATCAATATAACAGAGAAACTGTATCAATACTTATTTCTGTTGATTTACATGTAAGAAAAACAGATAGAAAATAAATTGATAATACATACACAGTGGCTAACTACGGAAGCCGGTTAGTGTCAGGGTGGAGTTTTATTTTTAAGTCGTTATAACGACTAAGCTAACTCAATATAACGACTTAGCTAACTTGTTATAACAACTTGACTTATCTAACTTGTTGTAACAACTTAGCTAACTTGTTATAACGACTTAGCTAACCTGTTTAAACAACTTAACTAACTCGTTAAAACGACTAAGCTGTCTCATTATAACGACTTTGCTACTTTCTCAATTCCAAGACTTAACTATACCCCCTAATATTTAGGTTTTGATTTATTTTCGATTGTCTTCTTATTTATTGATTTGTAAATTTTGAGTATAAGTGCACATTAATTAGAAATAGAAGTTGAAAGATGTACAACTGCAAAAAAAAAAGAAATTGAGGATGAAATACATTTTTCACTTAAATGTCCTAAATACTTCGAAGATTGCAAGCATTTTCTAGATAATGTAGAACTTTATAAGGGTGTCAAATTTAAAGACATTTACTGACAAATCTAAATTGTTTAATTTGTCTTGATGAATTGTTCAAACGGAAGAGGTAAATCACAGAAGCCCATTTTTGGTTTGCTTAGTTTTATCAGTTGTGGATCAAGGACTTTTAAAAAGGGGGGGGGGGGGGGAGGGTGGTTTCATGTTAATTAGGGGAGGAGGAAGGAGCCAAACCTTATATTATACTATTTTTATGAATAAGGAGATAAACAGTAAAACTCAACGAGTCAGCAAAATAACCCAAAATATCAGCATGCATAGTTAAGTTGTTTAAACGAATAAGCAAAGTCGTTATAACAAGTAAGCTAATCCGTTTAAACGAGTTAGCTGACTTGTTTAAATGAGTTAGATAAGTCGTTATAACAAGATAACTAAGTTATAAGAACGAGTTAGATAGGCTTAGTCGTTATAACGAGTAAGCAAAGTCGTTTAGTCGATTTAGATAAGTCGTTTTTACGAGTTAGCTAAGTCGTTTAAACGAATCAGCTAAGTTGTCTAAACGAGTTAGCTTAGTCGTTATCACAAGTTAGATAATTTGTTATAAAGAGTTAGATAAGCTAAGTCGTTATAACGAGTTAGTTAAGTCGTTTTAACGAGTAAGTTAAGTCGTTATAACAAGTTTGCTAAGTCGTTTAAACGAGTTAGCTAAGTTATTTAAACGAGTTAGCTTAGTCGTTATAACAAGTTAGCTAAGTTGTTATAACGAGTTAGATTAAATAAGCCGTTATAACGAGTTAACTAAGTCGTTCAAATGAGTTAGCTTAGTCGTTTAAACGAGTTCGCTAAGTCGTTTAAACGACTTAGCTTAGTTGTTTAAACGAGTTAGCTAAGACGTTATGACGAGTTAGCTTAGTTGTTAAAACAAGTTAGATAAGCTAAGTCATATTAACTACTTAAAAATAAAACTCCACATTGACACTAACCGGCTTCCGTACTAAACTGATGAAAGAAAACAAAAGAAAATGACCTCTTCTTATGATAGAGTCGAGAAAATCGACAGTAAAACAATGCCGGTGACGATATTGACCAAAAGTTATTTCTAAAAAACAATCGTACATGTTAAAGAAATTATTAGTTAAACAGTGTAATTAGAAATATATATGCAAAGACACGATGTTTTATGTTCATTATTTGCAGAGATAATTGCATTAGAAGCTTGTGAAACTGAATACTATTGTCTTTAAAGAAGGATATCGGTTATAAGATTTTTACTATTTTTTATACAATTTTAAGAACATGTCGTCTCGATATCTGTACATGTATGTGCAGTCTTCTCGATCTTTCACATTTTACGTTTACATCGGGGTAAGGTCCGTTTGAATTTGCTGAGTAACTTAATTTCAAAAGTGTTAACCTTTGCTGCATATCAATCGATTCCATTGGAATTTTCCCCCTGTACTTCTCTGATCTAGCTGCATATATATGCGGATAATTGGCGTGTTCCAGAGAGGTATACGGTCAGTAGAAAAAATATATTGAAGTTGGTACTCCAGGAATTTATTTCCATAGCAACAATTTAAACCAATTTTACACAAAGCTACAATAGCCTGCTGTACTTGTCGTTTGCTATTTTAAGAGGGATATGATAACATTACATGTATATGAATTTTTTTTTTATATCAATCTAATTTTATTGTTACTATTTATCAGAACATTTTCTTGTGAATTTACAATTAATAGCGTCCTTGCTAAAACGAGACAAACATTGAAAAGATCAAGATTTTGTCACTAGATTTCCCACTGTATAAGTCATGGCCAAACACGTCTTCACAACCCGGTACTGATTTCAAGTGCTATAAAAAGACTAGCATTTCTTACGAATGCTTAATTCAGTCCAAAAAACATAAACAAAAAAGAAAAGAAAAGAGGATTCTTGTATGAAAACATGTCATGCTCAAAAACGTTTTACCTTCAATAAACATGTTAGTATATCTCAAAGTAATAAATTCCAACTTTATCTGTGATGGTAGAGATTAAGACTTTGTAAAACTATTTCTTGGGTGTTTAATCGACAAATATCACAGGTACTAAATACATGACTATTACTTGTTGTCTTTTCGTTGTATACCTTCCGAAGAGAATAGATATAAGAAGATGTGGTATGAGTGCCAATGAGACAAGTTGAACTCTCCATCCAAGTCAAAATTTATAAAAGAAAACCATGATTATAGAAGTATAATTGCATAAGTTGTCCCCTTATTAACATTTTTGCTTCTGTTTAGTAAAGAGTCGACATTACAGTTTTATGCATAACAGATGACATCGTCCGTGATTGATACATGTATTTGTTTTGACAAAATAGCAACAATAAGATTTTTAAAACAGACCTTCATTTCATTATTAGTTCAACTAGGGGCGATTATTTGATATTCTTCGGTGGATTGGGCAGATGGATTTTCAAAATGAGTATTCTTACTTTTTGAGAACTAGAAAAAAAATCTTGCCCAAGATCGGATGATACTGAATATTCTGCAAAACAAAATGCAAAAAATTGTTGTGTACAAAAGTGGTATGTATGCCATGGAAAATAAGAAAGCCAAACTAGCAACAGGTAAAAATGAACACCTCACTGCAAAGAAAATAATCAAATCAAAGTCCACTAATACACATTTGATACTGATTCTCAGAAACAACAAGTTTGAGCTTTCTAAAAAGCTGTGCATTGCTTCGCTCTATCCTAATTTAAGGTAATATGTGTGCATGTGGTTGTTGATTTAGTATTGGAAATGTGGTATTTTAGATATTGATTGATATAAAATGGGTGTCTTAGACTTGAAATATCAATTTTTGTATATATATTAAGATGAACTTTTCCAAAATTTTAAACTGGCTGTTCAGTGTTTAGTTGTCAATGTGTTTTTGTGGAGTGTGGTTTTCTAGTTCTTTCGGCTGGTCATTGACTTGCGATTTTGATTACTAGTTCTGTACATAATTTATTTAGATATATATGAATGTTAAGGTATGTTAATAACATATAATTGTAAACAGCAATAAATATATAGTTTCAGTGAAAATGATGTTGTTCAACTTTAAGAGTGTGCCTTATACACCCATGCTTTTAAAATTTTGTTCACTTTCATGACTTGCTGAAAATTAAAAACAGTTACAAATACACAAGACCCTGGAGGTGTGCCTCTCTGAAGGTGTGCCTAGATTGGCAGAAGTTATAAGATACAGATAATGCATTTTTGTAAACATTGTATAGGACCATTGTTTAGCAAAACAAATCGTGCATATTGTAGATTAACAAAGCAAATAAATAGGTATTAATAATTGATATTTCAATATTGAATTTCAGTGTGCAATATATACATAATAAAACGAACATGAATTAATGTGAGTTGATCGGAACTGAAATACACATACTAGTAGTTAATTTTCCGGCATTTGATGTCTTATCCTGAGACGAGAAAAGTCTGTAATTCTTTATCTCATTTAAGCCAATAGCTGTTACTGTATCTCAGCCGCATCATAAAGCAACCAATCAGAATCTGTATGTGATAAGTAATTATTTCAAGATGGCGTGACTGAAACTAATAGCTCCGCACCGTGATGCGAAGCAAAAATTGCGCCTAGTAGTCATGTTTATTATCATAACGATTTGACAAAACAACATGCAGTTGACGTTACATTTATCATTAATGTCATATATGGTCGAAATTTGCTTGTTAGTTTCAGGGCAGACCTGTATGTTTAATATCATCTTTTAAGGATTTAATTAAATTCGTGCTATTTTTATAACTGATGTTGGATTCTCACAAGTTGAACGATTTCCCATAAAAATGTGTGTCGGTTAAAACTTACTGCCAAATATTTGAACCTTTAGTTTTACGAATAATTCTTACTGATCTGATATCTTTTTATACCTGAAGGTGGATTTCGGACAACTAACATTAATTTCGATTGGGAAGATTTCATTGCCAAACGAGTTTCTTTAAACATTTTGTAAACGCGATCTAACATGAATCAGTTTGGTGCACACGTGGTATGTCACTAGTATACAATAATATCTTGAATCTTGATAATGTATATTTTGCTTTTTTTCTTAAAATATATTTCGTTTACAGCATGTCCTCAGTAAGTGAATATTTGGAGAATACACTTGAGGAGTGCGGAGGACTCGGACGTTTTCAATGGCTTCTTATTGCCAGTATAATTGGCGGGAAAATTTCAATAACATGGACAACATTAATGATGTCATTTGGTGGTGCTATACCGGATTGGTCATGTCAGTGGGGAAATGATACAACTATATTACAAAATATAACTATAGAATCAAAGACTTGTCACCCCCCACAAAATTACAGCGACCTTGCTTGTGTCAGAAAGGTTTACGACGACTCTATGCATACAGTCGTAAATCAGGTATTATCTTTTAGACATCATGCTTATTTTTGTCCACTGCTTAGAAGCCATTCATTGAAAGTCTGAAAAAATAATACGAGATCAATATGTAAAAAAAAATGAAAGTAAGCACAATACATCGTTCGTACTTGATGATGATGGATGGCTGCTTAACGTCTAGCGGCAAACTAATATGCATATCCAGATCGACCCGCTGAGCCGGATTTTAAACGTGCTAGTTCACAAGGTAACAGTCCGCAGGGAAACATGTCACCTTATCCGAACACACCATTCTGACTCCGAGACGACCAGTCTTTGCTCTTACTCCTGAATACCGCGTGCTTAGCGGAGAAGCAGAAATACCAATTCTAAAGTCTTTGGTTTGAACCGGCCGGGGTTCGAACAGAAGACCTCCCGCACTAGAGGCGAACACGCTATCACGAGACCACCAAGGCGGTTACTTTCGTACTTAATACAAGGTATAGTTTGCAATAAAAATATACCAAAAGTGTGTAATGAACAATATATTGTTATATTTTTTCCAAATGTATACCAAAAAGTTTGTATAGACACAAATATTGTGCTTACATGTATTTGTTTTACACAATATTCTGATGGACAAAGTAATATAATGGACATAGTACACAGATAAATACCGGAAATAGCCCTTCATACTTACCAAATGGTCAGCAATATGTCAAATATTATACATGTATCTGCACATCTCCGACAGGAAATTTCAAGAGGATGCGTGACAGAATAACATGTCGTGAACATATCAACATAACTAAAAGTAAAAACTGTACAATAAGTGGTCATCTCTTTCTTTACTGTAATTACTAATTTTTCAGAGGCAGATAATCAGGATACGAATGACGAATTCATTCACATGTCCGATTTTAAAGTATGCTAGGTAGATAGAAAGAGATGTAGGGTATATATTGATACATATACTACATGTTACAACGAAACTAATATAATATTGACAATTTGTGAAATTAGCAGAACTGTCTGTTCTATGCTACAATTATAGAGTTTTGTAGCTGCCTTATTTTATCTCTGAAAACTAAATATCTTTTAATAACACTTGTTTACACCATGTACTGGGTATCATCAAAAAATATTATTTTAGCTTTATATTCTTTTTATAAACTGTATATACATTGCATATATTGGCTTCAAATTCTTTCTATATACGATGTTTTAAATTACATTGCATTATGGGCTTCAATTTTATTATTTTATTGCATGCTTGAGTACAAATAATCACAGTAAATCTAAACGAACATTTGGATAAAAATATTATACTAAGTAAACGTCGTTCTCTCGAATGTTAAATAGTAATAGTGCTTTACAAATGCTTTTAAAACTTTGACTGCATCCTTTTAGAGAATACTATTACTGCCTGATGCAAGAATAACAAAACTAATCAAATTATAACATTCGTTTGCAGTGGAATTTAGTATGCGACCGAGACTGGATAACTCAAACATTCACCACCATTCAAATGGGAGGACTGTTAGTGGGTGGTTTAATAGCCGGACAAGTGGCTGATATCATTGGCAGGAAACCTGCATACTTCATATCCATGTTTTTCTTGTTATTATTTAATCTCGTGGCAGCATTTTCATCGAACTGGCAAATGTTTGCCGCTTTTAGATTTTTAATTGGATTGGCAAGTGGGTTCTATTTGTCTGTGTTCTTCGTATTTGTGGCAGAATTCATGCCTCGGAAATATAGATCCATGATAATGGCGATCCCGGCATGGCCGATTTGGGCAGCAGCGTTTGGAGGAGTTTCATACTTGATACATGATTGGAAATATCTGCATATAGCCACTGCTGTTGTGACTGTTCCATTTCTGTTTACCTGGTGGTATGTTTTTGATAGATAATAGCAGTTTATTGTCCAGTGGCAAAACACGATTTTTTCTTGTTTATTGATCAATTTGTCATGTCTCATAGAGCTCAGGTATAAACACCAATAAATGATAAAATCAACTGCATTGGTGAAAACGATACAATGCCAAAGATGTTTTATAAACGTTATGTTTTGTTTACATTTGAAGTGCAACAGAATATGATATTAAGATCATAACGCTACTAAAAATTAATAGAAAAAACAATTTTGACTTTTACTAGAATCTTTAACTGTCATTATTGTCCTTTTATATATATAAATATAGCTTTCATGTTTCCATTCATTTAGGTTCATATGTTCATATGTGTTTTGATATAAATGTAACAAGATGATGGACATATGTCAATGCGACAGCAACCAAACAACAACAACCAGGTGACAACTAGCGTTTGTTCTAATGTCTCACTTAAACATTAGCAATTGGGTTAGTGACTTTTACGCTCTCAATGGTTCCAAAGTGACCAGTGCTTTGGAACTGGTAATACTTTTTTATTTGTACAATTTCGGTCAGTAGCCTTTATGAGCTACTATAATACAAAATTGGGTTCGTAAGCTGCGTCCATAACGGTCATGCATGTGAAAACTGTTTAGTGTACATCAGTTTTATTGTTTATATATTTGAAATACGAACTAATCAATTGCATGGCCTGAAATCAATTTTATATTTAAAAGTCAAATAAACGATTCACGTTTTCTTTCAAAAACAACTGATTAAAACTTCATAATTAGTATTCAAAAATAAATTTAATCTGGTTTCAAAATTGAGAGTATCAATTGTTTGGCTATATATTTTGATTTGTATTATTTGTAAATATTCACTGGATAAACATCATAAGTTTAAAAAACCCATAGTCTCTTCGACAACATTGACAATAACAAAAGCTTTTAACTAGTTTTATCTATATTTATCATTTTGACATTCCAATTTCTTCATCTTTAATTTGTGTTTTTACTCAACGAAAAGTTTCCTAATTCAGAGCATCTTATTGTATGCAGAAATATTCATTGGACAAGATAATATATAACATATTAAAGGATTTAGTTTATCAGCTTGTTTTCATAATAATATATAATGTTGACTTCTAGATATAAAAATAAGGTGATGTGGTACAATGTATGATTGCCAATGAGACAACTCTCAAACAGAGACCAAATGACATAGAAGTTATCAACTATAGATCGCCTTACGGCCTTCAAAAATAAGCAAAACCCATACTGCATAGTAAGCTATAAAAGGCACCGAAATGTAAGTCCATTGGTTATTTGTGTCGTTGTGTTAGTATACTGTCTCATTAATTTAAGGCAAGAATATTTTACCTATGTTTTAATCTATAAATCCAACAAATAGAGGCAAATCTAGGTATAAACGTTTAGGGAATCGCATAAACTCCAAAAGGAGCAAGACCGGATGCGTCGACATGTTAGCGTTTTCTGATATGCATGCATCACACTTCACACTCGATCAAAATGTCACAATCGTCAATAAAATTGTTGATTAACTGATGTTAGTTGAACATAAAATTGAGAATCGAAATGGGGAATATGTCAAAGAGACAACAACCCGACCAAAGAGCAGATAACAGCCGAAGGCCACCAATGGGTCTTAAACGCAGCGAGAAAATCCCGCATCCGGAGGTGGTCCCCAGCTGGCCCCTAAATAAAATTGTGTACTGGTTCAGTGAAAATGGACGTCACACTAAACTCCAAAACATATAAAGGAACTAAAACGCACATTTGATTATAAGGTAGACGACTTCTGAGTTTTATTTATAATATGTAATTTAGAATTATGTGTTTCAATCTAAATTTGACGGTACAACTTTCATTCATTCAGGTTTATCCCAGAAAGTTTTAGATGGTTAGTTGCAAATGATCAAATTGAAAAAGCAGAGGAAGTTATCAGGAAAATAGCCCGTATCAATAGAGCACCAGTACCGGACACATCCAAACTTAAAATGGTGGTAGAAAATTCAATATCTCATAATAACAAAAAGTATACATTTCTGGATATATTTCGTAACCCGGACTTCTTGAAAAAGACCATACTCTTAGCTGTATCCTGGTTAGTAGCATAACACATGAACAACCTAATCTTATATAATAAATGGTTTTAATTTTGTAATTTTATAACCATGCTGCTTATGGTTTTCGTCAGTAATGGAAACGGTTAGAATGTCAGTATAGGCTGAGAGGTCATACTCCATTGGAACAAGTCACTTTCAATACATGTAATATTATAGATCCAGTGTTATTTAGGCTCGTTTTACGGTCGCTATGTGTTGAATTTGCCGTTTCATCAAAATAACATGCACATTTTTGTACTATTAATCAGGTTAGAGTTGATGCTTGTCCAAGTACAATGTAGATTGTTGTCTACGTATACATTTCAAAGGTTTCTGGTTTAATCTTTCTCAGTGGGTTATTGAAATAATATAGAGCTGGAATTAAAGTAAGAGAACTTTCTGTGCATTATTAAAGACCTCTGAAATAAAAAAAGAAAGAATATAATGTATTTAATCAAGTTACGAAATATCTACGTACACGACAATATCCAACGCAAGGGAACAGGGCTTTCTTTTTTGTTTACATCTCAATTACAATGAGACCTTCAACAGGACCAAAGAATAAATTTTCGATGTCGATCTTTCTGAAGGCTTGACTTTTTTAATAACATTTACCGTGGAGTTTTGTTATTTTCATATCATGATAAATATTATTAAAAGAGTTTCTTATGTCAGCCCATTTTTTTTTTTACATTTTCATTACTCAATTTATAATAATTATGTATAAATATTAGTCCTACAATGATGTACGGTTTATTAGAAGAGGACCCATGTAGATGACAAATATCACCTATGAATGGGTCAAAAGTGAAGATTTGTCAGATTATGTTCTTGACATATATTCACATACATATGAAAATAAGAAAATGTGTTATAATTGCCAATGAGACAACTATCCACCAGAGTTCAAATAAATGGATATAAGCAATTATAGGTCACCATTCGGCTTTAGCAATGAGAAACATCCATTACCGTATAGTCGACTATAAAAGGCCCCGATATAAAATAAAGGTGAAACAATTCAAACGAGAAAACTAACTGCTTACTTTGTAACAAAATTATATAATATGAAAAACAAATATGACAGATATGTACCAACGATAACCACTGAACTACAGACTTCTGGCTACGGACAGGCAGATAAAGAATGCGGCATGGGTTAAAAATGTTTGTGCGCGCTCAACCTTCTCCTAACCTGGGACAGTGGTGTAACAGCACACCATAAGAACAATCTGTAAAAATCAGTGCAGCACATAATTCAACTCACTCATTATATCGTCAGCATTACAAATATTGTCATCATCGTAACCTTACGTGTACCAGGACTTCAACTATTCGGCATAAATTTTAAATATCTGTATAGTACTCTTGAAAAAAGCCCTAAAAACAATGTCCTATTTCAAAAATTATCCCTTTAAAATAAGCCGTTTCAGATTCCCTTTTATTTGGATATTATACAAGTTTTGGGTAATATGGAAATCTTTCCAATTTGGTTGTTAAGGCTGTGTTGATAAAATCACTGTGACATTGCATAATCATGATTCAGATGTTCCCGTGTCAATTTTGACATTTTTACCTATTAAGTCTGTTTGTATTGTTCACACATTGCTGTCAACATTGTCAACATATAATGGAATTTTATACGACTGTCATACAAGTGAGAGGTTTCGCTAGCTATAAAACCAGGTTCAATCCACCATTTTCTACATAAGGAAATACCTGTACCAAGTCAGAAATATGACAGTTGTTTTCCGTTCGTTTAATGTGTTTGAGCTTTTGGGATTTTGCCATTTGATTTATAAGAGACTTTCCGTTTTGAATTTTCCTTGGAGTTCGGTATTTTAGTTATTTTACTATTTACCGTGTGGCTCTTTTGGAGTTTTGCAAGTCATGAAACTGAGTTCATTCATCCATTTGTAAATAATGATTTTGTTTACTAGTTAAATTTCACCAGTGGTTTTATTGTTTTATGATTGATTTATTAATTATGCATTCATGGATTGCCAAAGTTGATTGAGTAGGGCGTTCAATCAGTATGTAATGTCACTAACCACTATTCCACTAATAGTTTGTAATTATCCTTTATAGTATAATTGGGACAAAAATATAGAAAAGGAAGCTTATATACGTTCAGCATTACTATCTATCAAATAATTAAATGTTATTTTTTAATATAGGATATCATTTGGATATGGTTACTATGCGATAGCATTTGGTGTGCAGCAGCTTTCTGGAAGTTTGTATCTGAACATGTTTCTTCTTAGTATTGTGGAAATTCCATCACAGGTCATAACATATTTCTTAAATAATTGGTAAGACGATAGTTTAGTTGAAAATTTAGATCAAAATTTTAAAATATTCAATAAATTTCAAGATGAATGAAAGTAATTTAAATCTTATCATAAACTTCCGTGACTAAAGTTGAGAGTCATTCCCATATTTTTTGGTGTCAGACCTTTCCAATATGACCAATGGTCAGAAAAGTCTGTTTCAAAACATAAAGACTAACAGTACCGTCTACTGCACAACATTTCCCGAATTCACATAATATTGAAAACGATCAGAAAAAAATATATCATTTTAAACAACCAAGTTTATATCGAAAGAAATCATAAAAAATAAAAAAAAAGTTCTTACAATATCAGATTTGTCATTGCTATATTTATAAAAGAAAGATCCTGCTTACCAAGTATATATGGATGTATGAGGAACTTATCAGAAAACCACCTTCTCTGTTAGTACTTGACACAGACCTTTGACTTAATAATCTCTTTTGTCTTCTTTATAGTCACATGTATCTCTATAATATCAAAATTGTCAATGTCAGAAGTGTCCATTTATTGAAACAGGGATTAATGGTGTTTTCCCCTATGTTAACGGTTGATATTAGCTGTTAATTTTAAAATATATTTGTAAATTACCGATATACTCATTTTTAAAACAGTTTCACCATACACGACATTACTATTTTACAAAGTTAACGATATGTAATATTTGTTGCATAAACCTTATTGAGGAAATTCTTCTGATGACATATATATACAAAAAATAATTATTGTAAAAAGAATACCATGCTCTTTGTACGTTACAGAACCTATTGTGCATGTTCGTAGATTGAAAAGTACAAGGTATAACTAATTAATGAATTGCTATAACCTTTGTTCCAAAGCAAATGCAGAATATAAAAAATGTTAACGACCAACCAAAAACTAAGCAAGTATCCACTGTCGGTCAGTTTCTACATAGATTCTGTATTTTAGAAGTAGGTTAAAAAGCCTTTTTCTACCGTACAAGTACTCTAAAACGTATAACACCTGTTTTTTTTTTTTTTTTAGCATGGGAAGAAAATGGACGACATTTATGTTTCTAGTCTTAGCAACGGTATCAGGAACAGTTGTAGGTGTTGTGCAAATGGTTGGTAAGAAATTGAATAAAGAGAGTATTTTTTAAGTCGCTGTCGTTGGACATACAATCCAATTATGAATCTTCTACCAATACAATTGCATTTACTTGTACTCTGTATACTATTACGGATAAATACTAAAGGGTATGGATGGGGTCCTTCATTTCTATATTCTTTACTTTTTTCGCTCATTATTCTTTATCTTTAAAAATAATAGCTATTCTGTAATTACTTGATAACTGTATTCTGGACATTGTTCTTTTCTGTAATCCGTATTTTTTTACCCAATAATTTAATATTTGCCGTTATTCTTTTATATTTTAGCACCCCTTTATTCTCTATTATTTTTTTTGGCCCATTTTGCTCTATTCTTTACTTTTTTGCCCATTATTCTCTATTATGTAAACCCAATCCACACCCTTATACAAAGTGTGTGTAGTAAAAAGTGGTGACACAAAACGAACAATATAAATTTAACATACACGTGTACCCCTTACAACATGATACCATCATAATTTGGTTGAACGTTATGGAACATCGGTGTTATAGGGGACAACATATTTGTTTTGCTTGTTTTAGCAATTACTATGTTCCCTTTACTCCTTTTATGAAATTAACACATACGACACACTACCAGATATTTACTTGACATAGACAACAACACGGTGCCATTATTAGAGCAGGTATCATTTGTTACTGATCCTGTCCTGGCAATAAATGTTTTCTTTATGAACCTGCATACACTTGTCATCAAACAGTTCCTTTTTTATGATTTAGGGTTTTTCCAATTGCTTATGATTAATGAAACAATTAAAAATCATATACTTAAAGTAAAATATCAAAGAGAGGCGAAGGATAGATACCAAAGGGATATTTAGACTCATAAGTCGAAAACAAACTGACAATACCATTGGAAAAAAAACCGAAAAAACGACCAACAGTATACAAAACACAGTCAGGAATCTGATTACAGTAGTTGTCGTCTGTTTATGTAGTTCATACGTGTTTCTCGTTTCTCGTTTTTATATAGATTAGACCGTTGGTTTTTCCGTTTGAATGGTTTTACACTAGTAATTTTTTGGTGCCCTTTACAGCTTGCTGTTCGGTGTGAGCCAATGCTTCGTGTTGAAGGCCGTACAATGACCTATAATGGTTACTTTTATAAATTGTAACTTGGATGGAGAGTTGTCTCATTGGCACTTATACCACATCTTCCTATATCTATATACAACATAGAAACTAAAGACTGAGCAACAAAAACTTGTTAAACTATATCAACTGATAAGACATCACACAATAGCGGATTGGTAATCGATTTACTTACATAACTCTGAGGCATCACGAAATCGGAAACCATCGGTCATGTAAAGGTAATATTCTTAAAAGTCTTGCATAATATTTTTAGATATACCAGCGAAAGATGGACTTATCAACGGATTTGCCATGGCAACAAAGCTATTCTTAGCAGCAGGATGGTGTGCATTGATGTTATTAACGACAGAATCGTTCCCAACAGTAGTTCGGTAGATGTTTTATTGTATATCAAAATTACCAAAATGCACAAACTGATAGCTTATAATAACGGCGCACAACCAAAAGTCGTAAGTCGATTAAAAACAAACAACATCGCGTTGAACAGTCAACAGAACATTACACAGAACGACAAATCAAGTAATACGAACCCAATCAAAAACTGGGGGTGAACTTGGATGCACAATTAGCCACACCCACTCCGTTTTTACTGACGAATAATACCAGGGAATTACGCATAATGGAATACTGGATAGCTAAATACCTCTTCTTTAACCATAAATCAACACCAAGCTCGCAAACCATCATGAACACTACTATGAGAAATTATGTAACTAAATAGATGTTTTATTGAAATGTAAAAACAGTTTTACGGAGAAAATGAAAAAAAAGACTCTGTAACAGGTATGACATGTTACTCCCATAATTTCGTTAGCAATATACACATTTTTCATACATCATGACAACAATTTATCAGTTTTTGAAAGTGATAAAAAGATGTACCTTATTGAACTGTCGGTTCTTTACAATATCTATTGAAATATCTTTTTATCAGATGGATGAAAATCCTATCAAATTGTTTTTTCTGTCATTTTCAAATAACACTATAATTGATTTTTAGGAACATGGGTTATGGTATACAAAACTCAGTAACACGAGTAGGAAGCATGGTGGCTCCACAAATCGTATATTTAGTAGGTTGAAAAAGTTTCCTCAATTTTTTCAGATTTACATACACATATTTGATTTGGATATTATATTTCCACATAATTATAATTAACTTGCTGTTTCTCTATCGGCCGTTGAATAGATTCGAAATTCAAGATTTGGTGAGTAAATAAATACCAGGGCGAAATAGAAACGGGTAATATGTAACACATTTATTAAATAATTCTTACTATGCTAGTAAATTTATAAATACACCAGTAGTCCGAATCAGGAAATCACTGTCTTAGTTCCGCTGCGTTTTTTTTTCAATATTGATGAGATTTCTGATTTCCCAATTACTGCAAATTATTTTCATTAGCAAAAGTTACAAGGAAGGAATAACTCAGGCAATTTAACCTTTTTTCCTAGCTTTGCGTTTTTTGTAGTTTTTGATTAACGAATATACCTTTAAAACGGTAATGTTAGTAGTAAGTGCTACATGGAAAAGCTGTTGAAATATTTTGTTTGAAACAATACACGGAACATAATGTTATTTTTAGTAACAGATACGCTAAAAAATGTATCATAATTAGGCATCCACATTTATCCAATATTTGGTGAGACGGCAACATATGCAACCAAGTAGTAAGTATCCCGTATTAGCTCATTGGCCAATACGGTCTTTTCCCGTATTGGACCATATTTAAAAACAATATGATAGCGAGTGTTATAAGTTTGCATCTAAGATAGATACAGGTATGAGGTGTGATTAAATAAAAATATAAATCCTCTACTTTAATATGTAGAATAATTACTCGAAATCTGCAAAAAATCAGGTGAAAGAGATTAACTCAACGGATGAATATTTAAAGATAACTTTTATGAATATTTTTATCTAAAGGACATATATAGCGCATGTATATATAAATATATAAAGTTGGAAATATATACAACGTAAGCTAGAGGGGGGGGATTGAACATCACCGTCCACGAATAAAAAAAAAAAGAAAAAAAAAACACGCTATCGTTTCTTTTATCGTAAATTTAGAATTTTGTTTCACTGGTGAATCATGAAATATCCAAAGCAAGAAAAAGACACTTACTACTGTTTCATTGAATAAATTTCTGCAGTTACTTAGTTGTTTATATCCAGGTCTTTTTTTGTCTTTTGTGATAGTTGTCTTTTTAGCAGACCCAATGTTCGTATTTTTATATAAGCTTATTCTTGATATATCGATAAGGTAACTTTAGGAATTATCAATTTTTTAATTGAATGAAATTAAAGTATATCTTTATTGCGCATTTGGTAAAATACTGTCTGCTATAAAAGGGGCTCAATTGATGTCCAAAGGAGATATAACTCTGAATATTTCTCTTTTTAATTACCGAACATTAAATTGGTTGCAAACAATATATTTTAAATCAGATTTCCGAAAGACTATTTGTTAAAAATGAGAAAACTGTTGTTTGACAAGACTCTATGGAAGTCTAAGTAATAACACAGAATTGAAAGGATAGTTGTAATTTATCTAAAACAGTAAAACAGTTTTTACACTCAAGAAATATTAATTAAATAATTCCACTTTATTTATATAGCTAGCTTTATTTTTAAATATATAATAACAAATTCTTAAATAGTTGTAAAGGAGATGGATAACGTGAAGAGCACCTACTGGACGCCAAGATGATTTTTTCTCAAACAATACATATATGATATTTTCAGTTACCTATACAATCTATTTCCACAGTCACATGGTCGTCATCGATTCCCCACTAACCAATATTTTGTTATAGGTTTTAAGCAAATAATCATTCACAAACTAAGCAAGCGTTTATAACATTACAAAAGTTGAAAACCTCCGAAACTAATTTAATGTACTATATGTCATCTTGGGTTTTTCCCTTTGCAGAGTCAGCATATAGATGGGCTGATGTACTTCCTAGTAGGAGCACTCATGTTCCTATCTGCCATCTGTTTACTTGGCATTCCAGAGACAAGAAATAAAATTCTGAGTGACACGATCGAGGACAAGAAACACAAACAATATCAGAAAAACAATCAAGAGGAAAAATCTAAAGACTTTGTTTTACGTGATCGCTAATTTCATTTAGTTTCAAGTCTAAAATTAAATTAATTGTACAATAAATGACCTTTTCCTTTGATAACGAACTTTGATTCTGTAAATCAACTTTTTAATTTTCTAACTTCTTATTCTAAGTCTACTGCATCAAATCATAACTATTAATATTGAGACCAATGTCTTTAAATTAAAAGGTCAACATGACCGGACAGTAGCATATGAGGTAAACAGAAAATAAATCATATTCTAATTGAGGAACAACATCGGTGTATTTGAAGAGTTGATACCGTCATTTTGGGAGATTTTACGCTTGCAAATATAGTTGTACTGGGGAGGCAATTGGTATCTGATGTATCCAATATTAAAAGTTCAATATAGCCAAAGTAATATAGTAGTTGTACTTCACTTCTTTAAGATGGCTACATAAACGCCATAAAACCTGGTCGATCAAACATCGTCAACCAATCGCTCTAATGCATTCATTTGTTACGACGATTTTTTTATTGATGGTCGACATGTTTTGAATATGGTAAATTTCTAGGTCTAATGGCCTCTATATAGATTTTATATATTTTTGATATGTGATCTATTCAGAAATGAACAGAATAGTCACATTTTGAACCTGAAAACTTTCCTCTTGACAAAATCATTTTCATTCTGAAGCGTACGCAAAGTTTAACAAAGTAGTAAAAGAGAGGCGAAAGATCCTAGATGGACATTCATAAGTCGAACACAAACTGACAACGCCATGGCTAAAAAAGAAAAAGACCAACAGACAAACAATGGTACACAAAACACAACATAGAAAACTAAAGACTGAGCAACACGAACCCCACCAAAAAATTGGGGTTGATATCAGGTGCTCCGGAAGGGTAAGCAGATCCTGCTCCACATGTGGCACCCGTCGTGTTGTCACTTACGCCAGAATATACATGTTATCACATTAACTTACGACGGATTTATGAAACGACTATAAAACCTAAGATTTATTTACGATAGGCATACGACGGGACGTACACTAAAATAGGCTTTGTGAAACGCTGGCCTGGTTTTTACCTGGTGTACCTACTAGTGTCACGATTTTTAAGTACAAAAGACGAGAACAAAGTTCCGACGATGTTTTATTTATGACAATTTTAAGCGAAACTTAAAAAAATGGAAAGTGTTGATTTTATTGCAATAGAATGGAGATAACCATACTGTAGAACAAGTTTTAGATAAAATGAAGTAATCTATGAATTTGGAATTGACCTATCTCGACAAAATTGAGCTGCCAGTTGATCATGGCTACGTGACGCGTTTTGAATGAATAAAAAGTTAAGGTCTTTCCGAGAAGGAGAAAACATTACAGGAAAGACCTGAGTATTCGGGTTTAGTTCAATCGGATAGATGCGATCAAAATATTCACCAAACTTTGGTTTATTCAGTTGGGAACAAGGTGAACAAGAGAGTTAAAGGAGTGCGAGGTACTTTAAATTTATTTTGTTTGAAACACGTAAACTATATTAATTCTGGTCATTTGATGGAGAGTTGTCTCATTGGCACTCATACCACATCTTTTTACATATCTATACACATAAGGAAAACAAGTCGAAACACACGTATACCTGTATTATATCGATACGATCGAAACAGTGATGGAAAAAGTAAGAAGATACAAAAATAATCACTTAGACAGCATAACCGTGATGACAGAGAACCATAAACCTAACACAAATCTCAAATTGGTCGCCAAAATAAAAAAAAAAATGGCAAAACAGAGAAAGAAAGAAAAAGAATTTATAAGCAGATACAAAACAAAACTATCTTTCTTTTTTGATTAAATTTCTGTTACACTGTACTATCTCATTGACGTATATCATCATCTCTTATTTATTTACATTAAAGATTAAACAGATATAAACAACATACATTTATTTGAAAAATATCATAAAAACGATTAAGGTTAATAGCGTGCACAACATTTCATTCACATAAACAGACAAATAAAACACAAGCCTCAAAATCTCTTGGCGGCTTATCAGGTACACAGCAGTCCTTCATCAAGATATAATTAATCTGGAAATTCCACTCTTCAGAACAACGCAAAATAAGATATAAGCTTAGGATTTTTTATATTTTATTAATAATATGAACAGTTGAAATTTTACAACCTCATTTGCATTAATGATTTCCTAATTGTCAATTTTTTTTATTAACGATTCCCTTTTTTGCTTTATGCAGTTGAAAATATTTTATACATATTCAAGACAACCTGTGTTTGATTCCTTAGGATTTCCTATTTTAAACCCTAAGAACACGTGCTGGTTGGACTTGTTTTATTCACCAATCAAAATGACTTTTAGAATACTTATTTTTATAAGAACAGTTTCTATTGGTTAGATCTCTTTTACCTTATTCACATTTTTACATAATTTGGGGTTACTATTTTTAATTACTTAATACTGACTTATTACCTTGTTTTTATGACCATTAGGGAAATCCGATTATTTTGGTTAGATAAAATTCTATGTGAACAATAGAAAAGAATTAATATATTTGCTAAAGGAAATACTTCTAAGAGTTTAAGCTGTCAAACCTTATTTATATCGCTAAGTGTCAAATAGGAAGAATTTCACATCAAATACTTATATATCAAAAAGTTACATAACATTATATAGACTTTCTAATTATATCTTTTTATACAAAAAGCTTTATACAAGAATTATTTATTTTCTACAATTACATGTAAGATTAACTTAGTTTTATATGAAATATTAAAATTTATTTCTTTAAATATTTTACCTCAATTTACCATCATTATATAACCATTAGGGAAATCCGATTATTTTGGTTAGATAAAATTCTATGTGAACAATAGAAAAGAATTAATATATTTGCTAAAGGAAATACTTCTAAGAGTTTAAGCTGTCAAACCTTATTTATATCGCTAAGTGTCAAATAGGAAGAATTTCACATCAAATACTTATATATCAAAAAGTTACATAACATTATAGACTTTCTAATTATATCTTTTTATACAAAAAGCTTTATACAAGAATTATTTATTTTCTACAATTACATGTAAGATTAACTTAGTTTTATATGAAATATTAAAATTTATTTCTTTAAATATTTTACCTCAATTTACCATCATTATAGAAGCATCGCATATAATGTCCATAATGACATAACATGTTTGCTTATTTATACAACCCTTTTGTCCACAGGACACACCTTTGAGAGAGTCGAACCTCTCATTAGGAACTTGGATAGCTTTTAATATCAGGGGTGATTATTTATTGAAGATCTAATCGTCAGTTTTATTATATCAAAGTTGGAACTGACTAAAATTATAATCAATAGACATAAGACATTACAAGGTAGGCTATAGGTTGATAATGCAGGTAAGCTGCTGATCATTAAATGAAAGTAAACGATTTGGAAACCAAAATAAAGTGTTGACGTCCCTAGTTTGCTGTCTATAGGTAGATGTGAATTTAATCGAAAGAAGTTAACCAATGTTCATAACTCGTAACTCGTGAATCTTTTAAGAACCCAAAGGACCAAGACCGGGCGCACCGAGAGGGTACGTGTCTTTTGATATGCCTGCATCACCCTCCAATCGAATCCATAATCACTAAAATTATAAATGAGACGAATATACTTGTTTCTAAAGATATAATTGTTGAAACAACGACACATCATATGATCAGTTCGTGATGGTGACCGTCAAACTTATGTAGTGACGATTATTTTTGTTCTTCCTCATAACTGTGTTTAAACAAATTTAGTGTTAGGAGCACACGTTTGTTAATGAAGTCTTTTTAGTGAGAACATGCACGAATGTAGCATATAAACTGTGATATGTAGACGAGAATGATATTGGTTGATTGTTTTAAAAATGTGCATTGAAATTTAGCACGACACTACAGACACCGATATATGTATAGCATATGTAGTTGGAAATATATACAAATTGTCAAGGTAAGCTGGAGGAGAGATTTGACCATCACCGTCCACGTTTTAAAAAAAACCCCACTAAAATCTCTTTTGTCGCAAATTTAGATTTTTGTTTCAATGGTAAATTAAGAAGTATGCAAAGCAAGAAAATACACTGTTGTTTCATTGAATAAAATTCTGCAGTTTAGTTAGTTGTTTACATTCTTGTCTTATTTCTCTTTTGATGGCTGATTGTCTTACTGGCAGACCCAATGTACTTATTCTAATATTCTTTATTATCTAAATGCAATACATTCCGATGAGAAGTTGACAATTGGAAAATTGAAGTTATCACGTTCGTCATAGATCCTAGTATGAAGTCGTCCATCGGTGTCATTATCGAGGTAAAGATCAAGATATGAAGCAGGGCTTTTTGTTTTGGTAGAATTCTCAATATCGATTTCACTGGAATATGTAACATGCGAGCCATCACTGAAATGTGGGATACTGAGGGACAGGACATTATTAATATATCTGAAATAGAAACAAAAAGAACTTTGCAAGTTGTTTTTCTTTTCATTAGTTTATGCGAAAGTTGGATCGAATTCTGGTTCATATGAGTACAAAAAAAGTCGACATGTAGGGTATACAATAAGCACCAATTGGAATATCGACTTTATGTTAAGATATCACTCCTCAAAACTGAATAAAGATGTTGTCGATATAAAAGTGAAGAATTTTAATAATATTATATGTGGAATTTTAATAAGCATATACACAGAATCAATTGTAAGACCCAGATATTCAATCAGTGTAGTTGGACCTTCAGTTTTTTTTTTTCATTTGCAAGTGGGACTCAAATATCTTTGCAAATTTCATCATACTGAAACATCAGATGTTCACATTCATCAGAATCTGATATTGCCACCAAAAAGAGAATCATCAAAATAGTGTTGAGAAAAAAATAGATTTTAAATGTTTTGATTCAAATGCAATTCTTGGTCCATGAAAATTCAAACTAAATCCAAACTCAAAACCATTAAACAAAATTTGTTTATCCTGTCCATAAGGTTTATCTTTAAAGAATAATGTGAATTTCGCATCTTCCA